CTGCTCCTTCTCTTCCGCCTTTCCTGTGATCCCGAGTGTACCTGCTGTCTGCGCTCTGTCCTGTCACGTTCCCTAGATCTACACAATATGATTCTACTGAGAGATGTTGTAATAAGTAAATTAGCATTCAGATGTAAATGTGATGCCCCTTGTCATTAAAATTCCATTAAAGCCCTTCGCTTAAGGACAGCAACCAAATCTGTTTCTACAGAGGATGTGTAAAATAGGTACAAATTTATGAATTATTATTTGTGCATTTACTTTTAGCTCATTGAAGCTTATTGGATAGTTGTATCATCTAAATGGGGCGTTGTTGCACAGTTTTGAATGCTACTGCACACCACAGTCACCTGTGTCTGAGAGGAGACCTGCCAGTTCGTCTCCTGGGAGAACGGGACCTTCGTCTGACAGGCGAGTGGTTTAACCTTCGTCTGGAGTTCAGAGAGGGACTCCCCTCGCTACGGCCCCCTGCCACATCACGAGATCGCATCCTGTGAGTATAAGAAAACATGTAATTTTGAAATGTAATTTTGGGTAACAACAAGGAATGTTCATAAGAACAATATAAGTAATAATCTATTTATCTATCTATCTATCTATCTATCTATCTATCTATCAAAGATTTAAACAGAGCTAGAACCTGTCGTTGGAGAGTCTCTGTCGTTCTTCTTCTCTCTGTCTTCTCTCAACAGACCGAGATCGGCCTCTCCTTGGAGGGGATCTGTTGTGACATGAAGATCTGTCCTGTCTGGATGCCCTGTCTGTACTCTGGACAACGGGGATGTGTTCAGGTGAGCAGTGGCCCCTGGGTCGCACAGACAGGCTGTGTTGTTCTGGAGGTTGTTTTCTGCTAGGAGATCGATTCTCTTTTCCAGATGAGGCTTCTTTTGAGGGTGCTTTCACTGATTTCTCGTCTCTCTCCCTGTCAGCTTCTGGCGAGTTTGTGTTTCTTTCTTTAGATCTAGACCTGCTCCTTCTTTCTGAGGATCTGTGGTCTTCAATTTGCTCTTCAGGCCGTGTAGTTGATTTTATGTTGCTTGATGGCAAGTCCTTGGACTTCACAGGAGATTTAGACCTCTGACCACCATCTTTGGATCTCTCAATGCTCCGGGATCGTCTCTGCTCCCTCGCTTGGATGGGACCACTAGGTTTCTCACTGATGTTAACTTCTAACCCAGTCTTACTAACTCTTTTTTCTGATTTATGGGCCCGGACTGCCATCTTGTCAGACATGCTTCTATCTTCCAACCAGGGATCAATTTTTTCATTATCTATGTAATCCTGTCGAGATCTTCCAGCATGTTCCCGAGCATCAAAACCTTGTCTCTGTTGCTCACCATTTTGCACAGCTTGCTGGATCTCCCCATCCTCTGAATCTGAGTTATAACCCTGTAATATCAGTCCCATACCTGATTGCACAGCCCCTTCCATCAGCTCATTATCAAGCTCTGCTTGAATCATGGCCCTTTGTTTCTCCAGGTCCTCCAGAGCAGCAAGGTCATCAAGTCTGGATCGCTTTGGAGAGATGACTGCACCTTCACAGCCAGCAGAACAGTCTCTATCATCCTGGAGTGAAACTCGGTGTTTCCGCTTATGATTGTGTTTGTACTTGTGCTTGTGGTCCCTCTCATCTGGTGAGGGATATTTATGTTTTCTGTGCTTGCTGCGATGTTTGTGTTTTCTTCTCTTGTGTCTTTCCACCCTGGCAATATCCATGTTATCAGCTTTTCTAGCTCCATCTTCACCAGGTCCATATTCATTTTCATCCACACTGTCAGATCTCTCCACATCATCCCTGGAAAAGAGTAAATCACAGTACAATAATATTAACATACTTATCATAGTCTGGTTTTGATAAATGACCACAATTACAATGACAAGGTATTCAGGACGTATTTTCCATTGTCGATGGCATAAAGTATATACAAAAACATACTGCTGTTTTATGTTGACCACAGAAACAGAGAAGTGTGTTAACTGATATTGACAGAAAACTACATGTCAAACAAGTTGAACGGAAACGTTTTCATTTCCAATACATGTAACCCATATTTATATATCTAAATACAAAAATGATGCAATATAAAGTCAGTAAAGGCCTTACTTACACATAATCCTTCGCTATTGTTTTGGCTAACACGTCCATATTCGCCATCTTGATAGTTCCTGCTGAATCGTTTGACAAAGAGAGTCGATTCACAATTCAGTCTGGCTATGCTACCAGTACTAACTTAAAAATAAGCAATCAAATTGTCCTCCAAATATAAATTTAAAATGTTCGTAACATTCCCCTCTCGGTATACATTAGTGTACAGTGGTCAAAGCAAAAGGAAGTTTAGACCAAATTGACTGAATCACTGAATCGATGAATCAATCGTTTGGAGCTTTAACAAACCACGCATGCGCAGTGTCTATGAAACGCAGAAGAACGAACAAGAAGGCAGGGATGAATAAATTGAGAGAGATAAGGGTTCAGGACATAACATTAAAAGGACTACTGAGCACACAACATAGGGCACAGACTAGAATTATTATGGATATCTTAAGGGACACAGGGGTTTTTAATAGAGTATGAAGAGTTATAGGAGTATTGAGGAAGGTTACAATTATTATTAGTATCATTATTATTATATAGTAGAATAAGGATGAAGTGTGTGGATTTGTATGCTTGGGAGAGAAGGAGGAGGGAAGGAGGGAATTGGGTGAATTAGTCTGTAAACCTATTATCTGATCCACACTCCGGAGCCGATGGTGGCGGTAATGCACCAATAAGCTGGATGCCAACCGCCGTTAAACTGGTTATTATTATATAGTAGAATAAGGATGAAGTGTGTGGATTTGTATGCTTGGGAGAGAAGGAGGAGGGAAGGAGGGAATTGGGTGAATTAGTCTGTAAACCTATTATCTGATCCACACTCCGGAGCAGATGGTGGCGATAATGCACTAATTACGCTGGATGCCAACCGCCGTTAAACATTAAAAAGAAGAAGAAGAAGAAGAAGAAGGCAGGGATCTTAAAAATTACGTGGCTACGAACAGCTGTCATACATTTACTGTTCACTTTTTTTTTGCCCACACACTCAGTTTAAACCAGTTAAAATAGTGTTTGTACATGAAAATAGTGTTTAGGTTTGTCAGTATAGAGAATAATATAGAAAATGGCACATTTTACGCTGTATCTGTGTATGGTAATTACGCAGTGGTCCCTAAATCGCATGTTTGCTTCCACAAGTAATTTAAAGAGACAACGCTGTTTGATGCAGGTAAAGATATGCACAGAATTTACACATCATTGATACACATACACACACACATATATAGTTAAACTGGGAACGATTTAACAGTTAATTAACAAATATAGCTTGCTTTCTGAATTATTGGATGACTTTTGTGTTTATTGTAGCGCATGCTAGTAGTGCTAGTAGGTAACTTAACTAGTAACGTTAGTGTATATGAGCACATTCTACGTCTGACGTTATCATTGTGCTTCAGAGTGTTGTGCAATAACAGGCTGTACAATAAATCTACTTAATTAGCTGTCAATATATCCAATGCCCAATAGCCTTGTTGAAGTGTAAAACACTGAATGTTTCATACTCCAGATAATTTACAAGACTGCCTAATGACTGTCTGTGTCTACTGATCTATTTTCCACCTTCTCCATTGTTTCCCAGAATGGGTGGATTTAAAGATGCATACCAAGATGTTCAGCCAGTAACCCTTCGACTTGCAGAAGGAAATGTCATTTCCAGTCTCTACTGCAGCTCAGCCGAGGGCATTGAAGCTCACGTGTCCACTTTAGTGGAAGCTTTCTTAGTTGAAGTGTACCGATGTAGAGTCTGTCAGTTTACCAGCAGCCAAAATGCCAAGATTAGCCATCATGTCTTGGAAAGACATGATCCAGTGTCTCCATGTCCCCATCTGCCATGTCTGGAGAAAGAGGATGAAGAGAGTTTGGCTGTAGGAATGAGGGTTCATGATGAAGAGGAGGTCGACCACAACAGCTCTCCGTATGACCTAGAGACTGATCTCCATTCTTGCTCAAAAAGCAGTGATGATCAGATGGACATGGAGCGCATGTCTTTCCTCCTCCCGATGTATGGCATGTTTCAAAACATCAGCCCACGGTCATGTGACATTGGCTTGGGCTCCAACTCTGATGGGAACTTGCATGTGGCACAAACTTGTGAGGTGACTAAAGATTTGTGCAGTGTTAAAGGTATAGTCCACCCTCACCTTCATGTTGTTTCAAATCTGCATGACTTTCTTTTTTTTCTGTGAAACATAAGATATTTGGAAGAATGTTGGTAACCAAATGGTTTTGGTTCCCAATGAGTTCCATTGTATTTTTTGTCCATGCAATGGAATTCAATAGGAACCGAAACTGGCTACCTACATTTTTCAAAATATGTTTGTAACGACATGAGGGTGTGTAAATGATGACAGAATTTTCATTTGGAGTGAACAGTCAAATTTATTTAGTTTGAAATGTGAGAAAATGCAACTGTAAATGTTTTTTTGAAGGTAAGCACGCTCTTTGAGGAGGATAGGCATGATGAGGATAGCGAGGAGGAACCTGTGTTTCAGCTGGAGGATGCTAACACAGGTCTGGCCGTTCCTTTGAACAGTGGAATGGACACAGAAATCCAGGATGAAGAGATGGCCCAGTCGGCTCATCTCATGACTCTTGGGTTGTGCAGAATTTCAAGCACTAAGTGTCAACCTCAGTCTGCGACCTTGGCAAAAAGCCTGTCCCATCCAGAAGGTGAACAGGATGCTGGACATGCCAACATGGATGCTGAAATGCAGAAGCCATCTGAGGAGGATGGCGGATTGGCCTGCATCCTCTGTCAGATAGTTGTATCTAGTCGTAGTATGATAGAGGTGCACCTGAAATGCCATAGTGGAGACCAAGGCTTTAGGTGCCCTCGCTGTGGTTGGGAATCAGAAGACTGGGTTGATATGGAGCAGCACTGGAGAGGACATGGTAAAATAAAAGGCTCAAAGAGGCATAAATGTAGCGTTTGCCCCAGGACATTTAGGAGAGTTGACTCTCGTGACGCACATGAAGAAAGGCATAATCAGCGGCATCACTGTCGGTCTGTGTCTGGGGGTCTGGTGCAGTGTTCTCTGTGCCTGGAATGGTGTCTCTCAGGGAAGGAGTGGGTGATACACCAACAATGTCATTTTCAAGGAGGCTTTAAATGTTTACATTGTGATTTCAAAGGTACATATCATTTTACCTCTATTTTTGCAGTTTCTTATATTTCTCTTATTATTTTATACTTTACTCTTATATTTCTCTTTTAGAGAAGTCATGGAATAAGACCCTGAAGCATATTCACACTCAACACAAACAGCTTGACACAAGTCAAAAGAAACAGGTTGCTCACAGTAGGTAAGTATCAAATGTAAGTATCAAATTGGGGAAGTCGTGGCCTAATGGTTAGAGAGTCGGACTCATACACTTCACTTTGAAATGTTTTCATTCAAATTCATTTTTTTTGTCATCTAATTCAAAATGCTGAAAAGCATTGGTTCTCAACTGGGGGAGGCGGATCTCACTTTGGGAGAAGTATAATTTACAGAAACTATGAGTGTGTCCACAGTTCAAAAGTATTCAAATATTGTTGGGAGTCCAAAAAACGTGAATCTGGTGAAACGGTTGAATCTGTTACTCTGCTTAAAAGCCACTGTTGAATGTTGACTTCTTTGTCTGTACTCAGAGAAAACCAGCAACTTAACACATCCACCAGGCACCCAGAATGCCTGAGAAGGATGAAGCCTGAGTCGTGGTCCCAGGTTAGGAAGAACAGGGTGAAAAACAGGGTTGTGGCAAGGGAAAAAGGCAATGAAAGAGGAAAGGACAGAGTGGGACACCTGAAGAGTGACACAACTGTTGGACTCACTGTTTCTAGACAGAAAGAGTTCTGCTGCAACCTCTGTGACAAGTATGAGAATGATTTCATTCATTACTGATTTAAGTCCACATTAGACAGTAATTATCTTAACCAAAAGAATGCTAATGATGTTTAGCATCTTAAGGTGGTTGTATTTTATAGTACGTACAGTTCAAAAGTTTGTGGTCTTTCGATTTTTAAAATGTTTTTGAAAGATGTCTCTTATGCTCACCAAAGCTTTGATAAAAAAAACCCAGTAATACTGTGAAATTGTACAATTTAAAATGACTGTTTTCTGTTTTAATGTAATTTATTCCTGTGATGCAAAACTGAATTTCCAGCAGCAATTACTCTAGTATTCAGTGTCACATGATCCTTCAGAAATCATTCTAATATGCTGATTCAGTGCTTAAGAAACATTTCTTATTATTATCAAAGCTGAAAACAGTTGTGCTTCTTAAACTGTGATATATATTTTTAGGATTCTTTAAAGAGAAGAAAATTCAAAAGAACAACATTTATTTGAAATGGAAATCATTTGTAAAATTGTAAATGTCATTACAATGTAATTTAACATGTACTTGCTGAATAAAAGTATTAATTTCTTTAGATTTTTTTTTCTAACCCCAAACTTTTGAGCTGTAGTGTATAATATTTTTATAGTGGAAATGCACTGGAGTGATTTACGTAGTATCTGTCCGAATAAATTAAATATTTCCTTAATATACCATATTACTTTCTTTTTCTTTTGAGATAACTGTTGACTGTAATTTTATAATTTATCTTTATCTCTGTACAGGAAGTTTTCTACAAAGATGACAATGCGGCGTCACATGGGCATTCATCAAGGAGATAAGCCATTTAAATGTCCACACTGCCATTACTGCGCTCGTCTCAAAGCCTCGCTCATACAGCACCTCCGCGTACACAGGTGCAGTTGCAAACACATTGTAGATATCTTCTTTTAATATTAAATATTCTTCTTTATGTATATGTATTTGGTGCAGTGGCAGTAGATCATTGTTTTGGAATTACAGTGATACATCTTGTCCACCGCCTTTATTAGCCTTGGTCACTTAACAGAAATTATGATCAAAGCCGAGCCAATAAATGACTTTCCCATGGTACTTTATTTAGAAATCTAGCAAATATATGGAGAAAGACGGCTCATGGTGACATGCAGAGATTTAGAGCTTCATGGAAGTCCTTTCAAAAGACTGGTTCTCATGGAACAGTTTCCATGACATTGCTCTGCCTGAGTGTGGGAATTCCAGTGATGTGTTTTTCTTCTTGCTTTAGGTGAGAAGCCATACAAGTGTTCGCAGTGCTCCTATGCTTCTATTGACAGAAGCTCTCTGCGCCGACACTTAAGGACACACACACAAGAAAAGCCTTACCGCTGCCAGTACTGTCCTTACAGCAGGTACATACATTCATCTGTCATAAAGTTGACAGGCTACACTTGTTTCATACTACATCTGTAACTAAGAATGAGGCTCTGCATTTCACTTCAGTATCCAGAAGAAGAGCTTAGACCTTCATTCATGGCGTCATCACACTGGAGAGTCGTTCCCTTGTCACCTGTGCCAGTATTCCACACCAGACCGCCAGCTGCTGGTGCGACACAAGAGGAAACATCACAGTGCTGAACAAACCGCAGCACTGGAGCAGAGGAACTGTTCTGGTTCCCAAACCGCACCTTCTCAAAGAGCACAAACTTCCAAATGATATTTATGATTTCTAATAAAACTTTTAAGTTAAATTTTACTGTGACAAAGCAAAGTATTGTTTTGTTAATTATGCAAACTTCTTGTAATGATTCAGTAAATTCCATGTGCTGCTAGTGAAATGTTATTTCATGGTTTTAAATAAGAATAGATCACCTCAGCACTGACACATTAACTCAAGTCATGGTTTAATAAGTTCAGTGGAATGTAGGTGAATGTTATTTGTTCTATTTCGGTGAGTGGTTAATTATAGTTTTAAAATAGAAAGCGATTAAAGGATTGACCCATGATGCAGCAAGCTTAATACTGATTTTAAAACGACAAGCAAATCCTACTACCAATCCAATAGAAACTGGATTATTTCACCTGTTGCTCAACGCACGAGCAGCCAAATTCATATGATCAGAGGAATGGAAGCTTTAATTTGTCGTTTTATTTTAATTAATTGTTTTAAGGCTATCGTTGATTTTAACATCTTTTCTGTTAACATCCTCTATGGGTCTCATTTTTTTCAATGACCCTTTTCACCTCGAGCTCAACTTTATGCAAACGAGCAGCGATCGATACGCTGTAGCAACAACCAATGAAATTGCAGCTAGTGACCTGCCGCCTGATGCAATTGGATGCTGTGGCAGAATAGGAACGCCTCCTTGCATCCAGCAAGATAACAGACTAGAAGACCTCCATCGACTTAATCGATGTGTGAACGCTCCCACTTGAGAAATTCCTAATTCTGGAAGAGAATTCATAGGGAATGTGCACAAATGGAGCTTTCAGAGCTCATTGTCTGCAGGCGAAGAGAAAAGCGGAGGAGTTTGAAGTTTGTTCAGCTCGTGTCAGAAGATTTGCGAACTTGTGTCAGATAATAAGCCCCATCTAATTTTGATGGGATATTTGTCGTGTTATCAATTGAATTTTTTTTTTTTGCAGCGGAATACATTTCTTATTTCGTGTTATTCGATTTAGTTTAAATGATAATTACTTTAATTACTATTTAATGTGTTTATGATACGAGTCCGTTATGACAGGTGTTAATATGGAGACCTTTCCTCAGCTAACCGTAAAGGACTGTTGGGTCGTTGGGCTCGAGCGCTTCGCTGTTGGTGCTGCTGGAGAAGAAGAGGAGTTTTTCGAGATTAGGATTGAATGGTTTGAAAAAAGCATAACATATCTGCGAAGGAGATATTACGATCTAGTGAAACTTGTTAAGAATTTAAGTATATCATTTCCAGACGACAGAGGACGTTTGTCTCAACCAATGATGCTTAAGGGTATGACATTTATGCACATTTGTGACATTTGAAATAAGTGGTCATTTAACTGATTAGAGACTTCATTATTCTATGTGTGTATGTTTTATCAGCACTACAGAGGATAAAAGAAGCAGAGGAAAACAATAACGTTAAAACGAGGTTGGATGAAGTGGAAAAATTACTGAGAAATATAATCAAAATGCCACAAAAGGTGCTTCATTAGACTAGCCTATCAATTCACTGTCAGTAATAAATGTATTGATGCCCTATTGTAAATAATTATGCAAGTAATTTATTTTCCAGTTCTCTCACTCTGAGGCAGTTCTTACATTTTTCAAGACTTCTCCTCTTGACTACACTTTGAAAAGCTTGTATGAACCAATCCAGCCTCTCTACCAGAGTTCTGTCACTGTAGCTGGTGTGTTCGTGAGTTCTAATGTTGTATTGATCTTGAACTGATACTTGATTTTAAACTGTAGTTTTTAAGCTAATATATATTGCTTTTCTACAGATGTAAGAAGGGCCAATGGGTTTTGTTTGGCCAATACAGAAACTGTTCTTTTTGATCCGTATTTACTAGCACAAGGAGCAGAACCATCATCAAAGTACAGGTAAATATCTGACAAATTAACATCCTAATAGCTACTCTTCTCTTCTGTTGATATATTGCTCAAGCAAATTTGACATATGTGGAATCAAAACGTATGTGTCTTATTTCACCACATCCAGCTCTGAGGTTGAGTCCCAGATGTGGACTGGAATGAGAAATGGGATCAGATGCATCAAGGAAACTGTGCATAAACCTGGCAAGTGCCTTAAGACTGCTGGTACCCCTGAAAGTAAAGACACAGACCATCAACCGAAAATATCACAGATTACCACCAGCAACATGACCTACCTCGACCTACAAGCCTGTGAGACAGACATTCTTGAATGACATAGTGCACTTGACAATGTAATTACAGCTTTCTAGTGTGGAAGTCCACAGAAATATTAATTTTTAAGGTTTAGTCTGTAAAAATAATATTTTTTAAATAAAATAATACATTTCTAAAGGATTTCTAAAGATTTCTAAAAATGGATATGAATAATATTTTTTTTAAGTTAAAGCTGCAGTCCGTAACTTTTTTTGGTTAAAAATGATCCGAAATCAATATTTGAGCAAGTACATAACCAGCCAGTGTTCAAAACTATCGCCTTACTTTAGCCCGATTCACAACGGTTAGCTTATAATAATGTTTTCTAATTTGAGTGGTATGGGTAGGTTTTTGCGGGAAATTCGAGCATGGCACTGCGTCATTATGTCACGTCTGTAAACATAAAGAAGTTCCGGCAGCTACTAGGCTATCGCATGTGAGGATCCTGCAGGTGGCGGATCATTTATAGCCTTTTCTTACAGCAACTGGAATAATTAAATGTATCATTTTGATTGCGGATTGTAATACATAAAGCATTATGTGTTTATGAAACACATGTGAATGAAATTAAATTATATTCCAGTTATAAATGTGCTTGATTATAGCCTGGGATTACAAAGATTTGTATTTGAAAGAAAACCAGTTCGAAGGGAGCATAATTTGCTTTTTGGGTTAAAAGAATTTCTTAATATGAAATTCGAAGAGTATGACAATTAGATTAGACTGTACAAATATTGAAATCTACACGCTAATACACACCATACACATAGTGACGCAATACTGATGTTGTTAACATCAATCATTTGAGAATAAAGTATAACAATAATAATAATTTGAACGGTTTGATGTGATATGAGCTAACCGATCTTTAGATTTAATCACCATTGGTAGTGAGATTTATGGTAATGCTTTTTTCCTCAGTTGGTCAGAACAAATGTGGCAGACTTGTTACTTACTTGTTCAGATGGCAATATACGGTGAAAATTCTTATTTGGGTCATATTCCAAGACGTAGGCTAGAATCTGTGATTGTGAAGTACAGTGAATATCCACACCGGTGCGGTGACTGACTGCCACACATACTCTTCAGAACATTAGATTCATCCGCGCTGGAGCTGTGCCGACTCACAACCAATGCAAGCTAGATAATTCCGCACACAGCTGCAATTCCAGGTTTTCAAACAGAGATGGCGACAAAGAGGCAAAACTTACGGACTGCAGCTTTAAGATGAACTAATATTAATTAAAAAAAAAGTTAACCACGCCTGATTAATGTTCTTTGGTTCATTTGCTAGCATTTACAAATCATATAAAATGGTTAGTTGATGAATGATATCTTAAGGTCATTTATTGTGAATGAAGTCAACCAGTTATGGAAAATGTTCTATAAAGTTGTTTTACACTATATAGCCAAAATGTATGTTGATACCCATCACATATGGTTGTCAGTGTTGTGGGTAATGCATTACAAATAACGTGGGTTACGTAATCAGATTACTTTTTTTCAAATAACTAATAAAGTAATGCATTACTTTTAAGTTTACAAGACAATTTTCTGAGTTACTTTTCAAATAAGTAGTGCAGGTTACTTTGTTTTGCATTTATTCACTGACACCACTCCTGCCCCTGTGTTGAGAGAAATTGGGAGTGAGGTGCAGAGGCACTTTCTTCAGGCTGAGGCTAGTCTTACATTTATGGTGAAAGTTTTTTTTTTATTATTAAAAATAAATAAGCCCAGCTCAGGTGACAAAAAGTAACGCAAAAGTAACAAAACACATTACTTTCCATAAAAAGTGACTGAGTAATGCAATTAGTTACTTTTTTATGGAGTAACGCAATATTGTAATGCATTACTTTTAAAAGTAACTTTCACCAACTCTGTATATGGTTGTTGAGCATTTAATATAATATCCTTTGGCATGAATGGTTTCCACTCTTCTTGTAAGTACTCAAATATGTCTATGAGAATCAGGCATGTGTCAGTGACTCAAATATGTCTATGAGAATCAGACATGTGTCAGTGACTCAAATATGTCTATGAGAATCAGACATGTGTCAGTGAGGTCAGAAACTGATAGGATGATGAGGACTGGCTCGCAGTCAGCATTACTGTTTATTCTACAGGTGTTCAGTGGGGTTCATGTCTGGGCTTTTGTGTAGGCCTGTCAAGTTCTTCCTCAGTAAATCATTAATTTATGGGAATTGCATTGTGCACAAAGGGGGCATTGTCATGCTGTAGGAGAAAAAGTCTCTCTCCAAATTGTTGTCACAAATTTGGAAGCACACTATTCTAAAGAATGTAATTGTATGTCATTGTATTTTTGAGATTTTTTCCCTCTCTGGATTTAAAGGGCCTGGCCAAATAGTTTGCCCATTAACTAGAAACGGCATGTTCACATACTTTTTTGCCACTTACTAAACTCAAGGTCAAAATAAAACTATATTCAGTTTTAATAATGACTGCTAAGACACATTCATCTGTTTTTTTTTCTAAAGTAGGCCAAGTCCTTATTGTTAAAAAGATTGAAGGCTATAGGCTGATCATTATTTAAATGGAACAGGGAGAATCATTTCAGTTCATGTTCAGGTCAGTGAGCAGTTCCCATGATGAAGGATGTTAATCAGTCTTTATTGGAGCAGTCATTGTGCTCCACTTTGACATTGCATAAATTGATTTGGCTCACTGCATCCACTCAAACAATCCATACATCCTTATTTTGGGTCAAAAAGTGCTTTTTTCCATCAACAGCTGCCCTAATTTACTTCTCTAAACAACAAACAGTGGAAGCATTTTTATATTTAATGACTTCTAAAAATCGAAACCGCTTTTCATGGTCTACATTTCCTCCTTTACCTCTCACAGGGTTATCCAACTCACTGCCAACATTTCAAATGAAACATTCAAACTTGAAATAATGTTATCTCTTTCTCTATGTCAGTCCCATTAATTATCAATATTATACATAATTTTAGCTTGTATTCACAGGGTAAAGTTTGCCAACACTCTATACAAATTTATCTTCTTATTTCTTATAAAAAAAGACTAAAGCAAAATCATCCAGATGATTTTAACAAGTTAAAAATATTTAGAGTACTTTTTTAACGTAACCATAGGCCAAGTGACAATTTTTGTCCATTACAGCAGGCCACGCCACAAACTACTTACTGATCAATAATAACTTGGTGGTGCATTGATTAGTATATAAAAAGCTAATGTATTGTGCCACCATTCACAGACTGACACAGAGAGGAGAACAGCACTGTTTATTATTTAACACGAGAATTTAACCGTTTTTTTCACTTCTCTCAATACAATTACCATCGCTTTTGTATACAATCATTTACGACTCTGAGACATCAAACCTCACAACATGAGCCATCACTCCTCATGGAGAGGGCATCATTGTGTCCCTTGAGACATCAACTGCACTGCAGGCTTTAAGGAGTCATTGGGCAGCAGGAGCTACAAGTTGCTCCATGTGCCTTTCCATGGGCCGACCCATAGCCACCACCATGAGCCTCCACACCTGTTCCCCACCGTGGATGTTCCTGATCATGCCCACTACATCATCGGCTCTGTCATCTTAATAGTCGGCATCACCGGAGTGATTGGAAACGCACTGGTGGTCTACGTGTTCTGCCGTAGCCGTACTCTTCACACCGCAGGGAACATGTTTGTGGTGAACCAGGCTGTAGCTGATTTCTTCATGTCCCTCACCCAGTCACCGGTGTTCTTCACAGCCAGCCTGCACAGGCGTTGGGTGTTCGGCGAGCGCTCTTGTGAGCTCTACGCCTTTTGCAGCGCTCTCTTTGGGATCTGTTCCATGATGACTTTGACTGCCATAGCTGCCGATCACTGCCTTGCCATAACTCAGCCTCTCGCCCTCGTAGGCAGAGTTAGTCGACACAAAACAGGTGCGGTATTGGCCGTCGTGTGGCTCTACTCCCTGGGCTGGAGCCTTCCACCATTCTTTGGCTGGAGTGCTTATGTTCCAGAGGGTCTTCAGACTTCCTGTTCTTGGGACTATATGACCTTCACTCCTTCAGTGCGTGCGTACACCATCCTCCTCTTCATTTTTGTGTTCTTCATCCCACTAGGCATTATTGCCAGCTGCTACTTTGGAATTTTCCAAGCTATCCGAGCTGCGGCGAAGGAAATACGAGAGTTGGATTGTGGGGAAACGCACAAGGTGTATGAACGCATGCAAAATGAATGGAAGATGGCGAAAGTCGCCCTCCTGGTCATTTTGCTTTTTGTAATATCGTGGTCGCCCTACTCCGTGGTGGCCCTCACCGCCACGGCTGGCTATTCCCACCTCCTGACTCCCTACATTAATTCAGTACCTGCTGTGATCGCCAAGGCCTCAGCCATCCATAATCCCATCATCTACGCAATTACGCATCCGAAGTATCGGGCGGCTATTGCCCGTTACATTCCGGTACTCTGCCCCATCTTGCGTGTCAAAGAGAAGGATCTCCGTTCCTCTTTTAGCTTCGGAAGTGTCAGTTCCCGTCGTCCGACCCTCACCAGCCAGTGCTCTCTGGGGGTTAGCATCGGCAATGCTGCACGAGCTAATGGCTGCTGGGGGAAGACGCGCTTGTCTTCTGCTTCAGATAGTGATTCTTGTTGGAATGAGAGTGAGGCTGATGGTTCCAGCGTCAATTCCCTGACCTTTGGTCGTCGTGTGTCCATGGAGATCTCTACAGATACTGCCATTCTCTCACCAGGGTCAAGTACTAACAGCTCCAGTGGGCAGAAGCCGGAGAAGATGCACAAAGTTGTAAGCGCACCGGTGCCGTCTATTACTTTTGAAACAGATGCAGCCGATGGCGAGTCTCTGTCTGATGGGAAAGCTTTGCTCCTTGGGGGTAAAGAAAGGGAATGATGCAGTGCTTCAGAGTAACTTTGGTACTAGTAACTTTAGTAGTTGCTTTGGCCTATTCTTTTTTTAATTTAAATATATATTCACATGCCCTTCTGTACTTTACAAGCCTCTGTCTTGTTAGTTTTGTGAACTTTGTTTTTGAAATTAAACGATTTTCAGGTTTGTGTGAATTTAGCAGATGCATTTATTAACTTCAATGATTTCCTTCATAAAATGTAAGCGTTTGTTAATTACTTTCTTTTTATTAAAACCTTTATAATAACCATCTTTTTCCCCCTTGTTTAATCTGAGGATATTCTGGTGTGGATTTTAATAGTTGAGTAAATGTATCTAAATGATGTTTGGCATCATTTTTATTTAAATAAAAGAGCATATACAAATATCTTAAGTAGTCTTGTTTATTTCTAACATTCATTGTATTTCTAGCACCCATTGTATTTCTAGAAATAAAACATCCAGAAAAATGTAGTGCTTTTTCATGTTTTATATTTGGGGTCCAAAATGTTAACAGTTCTCACACAGGCATTAAAGGTTATTTTCCAAAAGTTTAAACCTCACATTTAAAGTGAATATAAGGTCACATTTAGTTTTGCAAGGAAAAAAATGGCAAATTTGGTTGAGGAGTAAATTGGACTTTGAATTAGTGTTTGAAATGCCTGATTCATAAATGTTTGAAAATTGTCTAGGACTGTAAATACATTCATTTTGTCTCATGTACACAACTTAGACAATTCCTACAGTGGCTCTAAAATATTTAGACAATTAAAATACTAAAATACATAAAAATACATTAAAAAACGTATGAATTTCATTTTGTAGAAGACTGTCAGAACTTGCACTTTATATTATATAAACTTTATTTGACCCTCTCTAACTCTAGCACTCTCTATTCTAATTTTATTCTTAAAAAAACACTTGTCCCTTTTAGACTTGCACTCTATTCATTTGCTGCTTGTTTTCTTAAAAAAAAAAACGAACTTAACTGCTTTCTAATCTTTTTGTATTCTATCTGTTTTCTTTTCATTTATTATAAAATTAACAAAAGCAAAAAGA